TCTTGTTTCCGGGACCTGGGCAGGTTGCAAGTTGTTAGTCCGTCGAAGATTTCTTCGCTGTCTTCAAGACATAGCGAACCAAGTCCAATGTGCTGCGAAACCTCTTCTTAGGTCCTGGCTTTTCTTTAACAATGCGATTTCCATGTTTTTGAAGGAAGCCGAGGATCAGCGAAGCACGATCGGGAATGTAAAAATCGTCGCCTAGAATGCGGGTGTTCTCCATATGGCGTCGAAACATCCTACGTGGGTTAGGAAGAATCTTGACCCTAACACCATCAGAGTCCTCATCCATCATGCGCAAACGTCGCCGAGGTTTGTTGGGAAGTGGCTCTGGATCCGGAACACGAGTCACTTCAGGAACCACTGCATTGTCCTCCACTGATGGTTCATCCGTGGTACCTCCAATGTGTGCAGAGTCTATATCCGAGGAATCCTCCGGGGTGATGCATCGAGGTATGCATGTAGAAGAATTATCCCCACTGTCAGTCTCACTCAGATTGTCGACGTGCCATCCTGAGAGCACGTGCTCGTCAGAGATGGAGAAAGAGTCACAGTCATCTGACACAACCTCCGAAACGAACCGAGCCATGGTGCATTCCCTTGCTTCTACCGAGGGTCCTGAACCTATGCGTCGACAGAAATGCACAAGGAACGTTAAAGAAGCCAACAGTGCAACGACCACAGTCCTGACACGTACCTTTTATACAGGATGAATCAGTCACCATACCTGTGGATTCCACCGAGTTGGGTGGTTCTGTACATCATCGGAATCCCTGAAATCTGGAGCGGTCCTCACGAATTGAACCACGTCCAATGTAGCCAATGCCGTGATCGGTTCAAGGAAAGAGAAATGCCTCCCGTTTTGATGTAGTTGGAAACACTGCAGCTGGGGACGACGTCCTGTCATCTCTTTGATCCTATATGTGAGAAGTTTCTTGACTGCATCAATATTGTCCGCACTGCAGCACACCAAATGAACGATCATCGCCTGGTTTCTGGTACATCGATCAGCTGGCATCTGAACTGTAACTCTGACAGCTTGCGGTTCACGCGAAAAGCCCGCATCGGCGGCTGTCCTTTTCATGGCTTTAATGTACGAAAATTCTAATCCTGCAGCCGTGAACTCTGCAACAAGTATGTGCGTTCACTGAAACTCTTGCGACCGAAGCGTGTAAAGGAGAGGAGAGGGGAAAGAGAGAGAGAGAGAGAGAGAGAGAGAGAGAGAGAGAGAGAGAGAGAGAGAGAGAGAGAGAGAGAGAGAGAGAGAGAGAGAGAGAGAGAGAGAGAGAGAAAGAGAGAGAGAAAGAGGAAGAGAGAGAGAACAGCGCGCATTTCATCTGATACATCGGCTCTACTGCGGCTGACCAAAAGTCCTGTCCTTTTTATGTGAATCGGATGCCGACAGACTTTAAAAGGTGGTGTGCAATCGGTGAAAGAACGCTCTGTGAGAAGCCTTGGGCCCGGTAGATTTCAATTAAGTCCTCCACCTGTGGCCGAATCAAGCGCATCGGTCGTGAAAGTCTAATGATCGTGCGAACCCTAGCAGAGAAACCAAAAAGAACGTGTTCTTTCCTTCCAACTGACTGCAACGTACGAATGGTTGAAGCATCGGTGGGTTGTACCACCGTGATGGTGCCCTGCACGTTGGAACATGTGGTACCTAAAAAGGTCTCAGTCAACACGTCCTCCAGGATGATGGGTGAGCCGTAAAATTCAAGATGAAAAAGTAGTTGAAGCCATGGGTTTCTTTGAATGCCTGAATGTAAATGAAAGACACGGTTGTCCGCATATCGAGCGGCAGTCTGGAAACCAATGTTGTTCAGAATGGTGCGAAAATTCCGAAGCCACAGAAATTCCGTGGTCGAAGCGACCAGAGTGCATAACACTGGTGCAAGTGCCGATCCCATGCTGGCTCCTTGAATCTGCTTGAAGGTGTGGATGCCACATTGAAAGAAACTGGACCGCAGTAGAAACCCAACTAACTCAGGCAGGTCCTCCAAAGGAAGCGTCTTCGTGTTCCTCGCGGCAAACCTGCGGCGTCCACGAAAGACTCGAAAGTTGGGATCCTTGCTGCGAATCGAAACCTGCAAGGATTGCTGTTGCCACGGTTTATGCCAACGATCTTCTAGAAGCTGCAGAACGAAAAGCAAAGATTGCAGAATGCGATCATGTGGTACTGAATTGAAGAAGCCCACCAGGTCCTGTTGCTTCATGATGGTGGGTTCATCTGCCGAATACCCCATCATCGAGTGCCACATCATGCGAACTGCTTGTTGAACCGACAAAACATTAAAGGTGGAACCAGTCGGAAAAACAATCAACATGATCTGAAAGATCGCCTTGGCCAAAAAGGTAGTCAAACGAGAATGCCAACAATGATCGCATCCAATGATCGGTCTTGCTTTGAGAAAGTCCTTGCTGGGTTTGGGCAGAATCCTTGCTACGGGTAAAGATGCACTCCACTGACATCCCCAGCCATACCTGGAAGGCCACCGAGGGGTAGATTGGAAGCGCGACTTCAAATTCGACATAATGGAAGAAGTGCCCACACTGCATCTTTGAAAGACTGTCTCATCTAAGAAGGTAGTATCCAACAATGAATGAAAAGCAAAAGGACAAGCAACATGTAAAGAAAAAGGAAAATGATCGGCCGGTGTAAGAACAAGTCCTCGTAAACGTCGAAGATCGCGAAGAACTGCTGTGTGAATCGAAAGCTCATCAGAACGCACAGTCTGTTCATGTAATTGACATTGACTCAAAACCCACTGCCGCAGTCCTGCATGAACTCGACGAGGTAACCTCCACCTGTTGCACCATCGTTGTATCTCCCTGTTCGCAATCTGTCGCCATTGTGCTGTGGGCAAAAAACAGGTGTCGTTGAGATTCAAGAAGGCCAAAGGTGAACTCGGAAGAATCACACGCACATGAACAAACAAGTGTCCTGTCGTCCCCGATGTCGAGAAACTAGTACACCTGCAGGCCTTTGGCTTCCCTGGCTGCCATGATCGAAGAAAAGATCGGTAATTGAATGCAGTCCTAGACCATGGACGAGATTTAATCTCAATCATTTTGCAGGATGGTAAATGCAGAGGCGGAAAGTTCAGTCGTTCTTGTTGTACAAGTGTACGAAGTGCCGTGCATACTTCCTTGGCAAGATCATGTGCAAGAGGTGGAAGGCGGAGGGGAACATTGGTGGGCGGCATGTGTCCTCGTCGGAACTCCATGATCAATCGCAACTGCTGAGTAGCTCGGGTTTTAAACGGTTCGTCGATCATGTTGACCAACCTGCACCTGAGATAAAGCTCCTGCAAAGGTGTACGATGAGACCGAAGTGTCCTGGATTCCAGAAATTTCTCCAAGCTATCACTGCCCAAACGATAGAGGGAGAGAAACACTTGCTTGTTGTTCAAGAGATGCTGATGATAGAGTCCATGACAACGTCGAATCAAAGCCTGACACTTCTTGGTGAACCGATGGCCTGTTCTGGCTTGAGGCAAGCGGAATCTGTTCTGCTTGATCCGTAGAGACTTCAACAGATCCAATACCCATGGATGATTCAAAGCAGGCCTAAGTGTCCGAATCAAGGCAGCTTCCGTGGCGAGCAATGACAGAGTGTCAGAGTCCTGGTACAGGGCCAACACAATACCTTGATAAAAGTCCCGTCGGCGATGAAACACTTTGAGTGCAGGCTCAAAATATGACAGTCGTTTTCTAACCAACTGAATGAACTTACGACGTCTGGAGGCTTCTCGTCCTGGAACGGTTGTCCTGGTGGCTCCAACATACAGAGTCGCCGTGGTTGCCGGTCGATTCACCGACACACGAAGGTAAACCATATGTGAAGTTTGATGCCAAGACCATGGATAGTGTTTGGGTACACGAAATTGCACCAGAAGATCACGAATGCGCACGAAAATGCCAGTGGAAAAGCAAGGCAAAGCGTTCGAAAATAATGCACACGAAAAAATGTGGGAGCGAACCCACATGAATCTGTCGACCACCTTGTGGGGCATGAGAATGTAAAGGATTGGGAGAATCAACGAGAACCATCGGAGAAAAGTGACAACAAATCGCTGTCGCTGGGTCCTCGTCTTGCTCGAAGCCGCGTGTAGTCACTGGTTTGCCAGCAAATGGGCTCCCGCGATCAAGCGAGTGAGGCATTTCTCATTCAACTTAGAAGCGAGAGAACCTGCGAGACCCCATTCCACTGCGATTTTGTCAACTGGTTTCTTGTTACCATCGTCAAGCTTGGCACAAGCAGCAACAAACTCGGAAACTGCAGTGTCGATCACCTTATTCTTGCCCTTTCCGATAGCAGTGGATGCTAGCCAGTTGTTGACACTCTTAAGATTAGTGGCTTCCAAGCTGCAACTCTCAAGGTAGAGAGTACTGTCACGATCCGGGAGATACTGCGAGTATGTGTCCTGAGCATCGAGGGGGCCTTTGTCCTGATTCTCCTCGTCTTCTTCGAAAAGGTCTTCGGCAGGTGATCTGAACATGGCGGTTTCTTCGCCATCACCCCCACCCGCAAGGTCCTCTGCGCCGAAATCCATGGGACTCCTGGGCTCCGTCTTCTTGGATCCTGAAGCGGGAGCGCCCCTGCGGCGAGGAAGAGCCGGTTGCGCTGAACGATGTGGCTTACCCTTCAAACGAGCATTCTCGGTCTCAAGAGCGTGAAGCCGCTGCAACAAAGTCTGATTGGTCTGAACTGGTGCATGCTTACGAAAGTCCTTCACCAGGTCCTCGGCCAATTTCTGGATTGTCTTGTAGCGAGCCGACCAATCTTGAAGCTCCGACGATGGAAACAACTTCTTCTGAGTAGCATTCAGAATGGTAACAAAATCGGTGCCCTCCTGTTCTGCTTGTTCAGAGCGAAGTGCCCTCATTAAGACCCCAGCAAACACTCCCTCCTGTTTGGATCGAAAGTTCTCCCAATGCACGGCACGACCATGAGCGATCTGACGTAGCGCCCAATTAGAAGTGCCCCCTGAGACCACTCGATGTAACGGCACCTCAAAGATCTCCAAGCCTGAAATGTCAAGTTCTCGAGTAAGACGATTAGAGGTCACACGTCTCGGCAACGTCAGACCATACACCCTGTTCGAGTCCCACTCCTGCGAGGTCGACCTCCATGACCCCGGAAGGTTCCCACTTCTTCGCTCGACTCTTGGGGAACGAGTACGAGATCTGTGCCGAGTAGTACGACCCGAAGAAGAAAACTCAGGCTGTCTGCGATGCGAGCGCGGTGGGCTTCGAGATCGCGAATCACGACGACGATGCGACATGGCTCAAGTGCACTGCAGGAAGACTTGAAAGGCCAAAGACTGTGCAAAACATGCATGTTGAACAATGACAATGCAAATGCAAGCAGTCCTGCTCGGTGAACGAAAAATGCAAGACTCACGCGTCCTGGTGTTTTCTGAGTCCTGTGCGAAATGTCGTCAGTCGCCTGCACCACGCTGGATCTGCTGAGCATGTGTCAGAGGAACCTGAAAAAGCGGGCGACCTGAGGCATCTCTCAAAGGGGTGAACTGCTTGGCAACTGCCACTGTGAAACCTGCCACTGTGCTCCTTCCACTGTGAATTACATATTTGTGGTCCCGTTTGAAGTGAACGACCCCATGTATGAGGCACTGTTGCTGGGCGTCTTCTCCACCGCCCGACTTCAAAACGAAATGCTGGCCGGGAACACTAGCATATCCATGAGTGATAATGGGACAAGCCCATTTCGCAGAGTTCGTAACCCTATCAAGAATCTGCACAAACGACATGTCATCGCTCCACGGAGTTGCCTGCGAATAGTGGCCTACGGCCTCCGGACCGTCCGCCAATGTGGCGGGTGCCAAAAATCGAGATTGAATTATCCCTTGTACGCCTGCAATGTCCGAGCCGTGTGCAAAATAATATAACTTGCGAAGTTCAGCAGAAGAATCATCATGTGGTACAAACCGCTCAGTCAAATCGAAACTCCAGTAAACATGTGCCTTGGACTCATGACACTTCACTCGACTGAACATGCGGGATGTATCTCCTGTGTAACGGCACATCATCGTTGCAAAGCAGTGAAGTTCGGAAGGAGGCAAATTCTGAAAACCTGATTCCTCGCAAAGGTCAGTCAGAATCTTCATGTTGTTTCGAATCTCGTCCTCCGGAGCTGCCTGCATGATAAGCCGTCCCTGCCAACTCTTGAGCTTGACACTGACTGCTCCACCCACTGTCCTCGAAAGAACCAACTCAGAATGCACGTCCTGACCACTGGTCGTAAGCAGAGGATCACCTGCATACTGCGGAGGCTGTGTCGGAGTGCAATCAATACCTGCAGGAAGCGCTGGTGGAGGAGGAGGTGGAGGAGGGGGTGGTGGTGGTGCAGCCGACGATGGTGAAGCTGGCGACTTGCGCTTGAGTCCTACCTGTGCAGGAGTGCGAGCGGTCGCCATTGCAACAGCACGATCTGCCATGTCCTGTTGAACCTGAATATCAATATCTGAAGCAGAATCAACAACTGGCTGTTTGGTCTCTGCTGGTGACTTACACATCTCGACTGCTCCCAGCATCTGTTCCCTCCTCTGCTGCAAAACTTGCCCCACTGATCCCTCAGGAACTTTAGCAGCATTCTTGGCACGAGCAATACCTCGCGAAGTGAGCTTTGGTGCATTCGCTGTGCCTGCAATCGATCGATCACTGTCCGATGAAACTTCTGAAGTGTCCTCACGATCGTCGGAGGCAGACGACGAGTCTATCGTCGGAATGTCCCGTCCTGTAGAGGTTCGATCTGGCAGAACGTTGTCGATCTCGACTCCCTGGTACCCAAAATTGGGCAACGGAATCACTGAAGGCGAAGGTCCTTCCTCCTCCGAGATATCAATCCCGGAAACATCTGCATCCGGCACAGGATCCATGTTCGCAGAACGGAGAGACTACCAAAACAAACAAGCAAACAGACAAAACGAATTGAAGCCAAGATGCTACCACGGCCAAACATCTTTGGTTACCGTTGCTTCTTTGTGTACTCCAGGCTACTAGAGCCACTTTAGGACCGTCGGGCCACACAAGCCCATCACCTGACCAATCGGGGCACTGTCTTTCCGGTTGCTCACTAGGAGCACTTAGACCCATCACCTGACACGAAAAGGGCCACTCTTTATAAATGCCTTTGCACCATTGACCTGTCCCGAAGGAGTACGGCCTCTTCTGTTACCATCTTGGGCCGCAAGAAACGTACCCTGGCAGTCCGCAGGAGCGGTTGTTGCCGTTGGCGACAAGGCCACACACGGAGTTTGGGGTCCATCAGGACACAACCAATCACTTCCAGTTTTGTCATAATATGTGGCTAAAGTCGACGAACACCTGAGGTCTAAGTCACACCTGAATGATCAGATTGCAGCAACCATGCAGGAACTCAACTGTGGCAAACATGAAGCTGTCACTCTAGTGTTGGTTACTCCAGTGCCTCAGGGGGCCCACTGGCTAATCCGAAAGCAGGTACACAGTGGTGATCAGCCACTGCATCCACTCCAGTGATTTGGCTTCGTTGGGCAAGGCTGATCACTGGAGCCCTTGCCCCCCTGCTGACAAAGGAACATTGTAGCATCGGAAATCACTTGCATCGCACATGCCAAAAACCTCTAGCTTAGAATCGAGGCTTACACACACACACACATGTAGCATGTTTGAATATATACATATGACACGGGGAAAGGGAAAGTGTTCCAAATCGCAGGGGTGAAAGAAGGGGCAGGAGAAAGAGACGGTTACGAGAGAGTGTATGCTTTTGTTGCATGTGTTGTCACTGCTTCCTGCATTTGCCGCCCCGCATGCACGAAGGCTCTCGCAACAGCATGTGCACGTGCACAGGGGATGCATGCAGCATGCAGGCATACAGTGAGGATGCATGCAGCAGGCATACAGCCACCGATGCATGCATGTCGAAGTATAGGGCTCAGGAGGCCTTCGGGGTTTAGGGCTTCAGCTGTCGAAGCGACATAGCCATGGCTTGCTATCGCCTCTTTTTCAATGGAATGCCCGAGGCATGTCTGCTGCACTGCATGCCCTACATATTTGTAAAAACCCCTAAACCCTCAACCCTATATGCAGGCGGCGGAGCACGACTTGCAAGCTTCGATCGGAGACCTCTTCACGAAGGCGACGGCCACAGGGGTTGTGCACTTCTCCAGGTTGAAACTTTGCAGTCTGTGCATTGGACGAAGGACAACAAGAAGAAGTGGAGGTGGCTTTCGGGGCCGGCTGCAAGGCCTTGGGGAAGGCTGAGGTGGACCAAAGGAGGTGGGGTGCATGTGCTGATCATGCATGGAGAGAAATGATTTTTTTGGTCCAGGCTGGCACGTGGACAAGATGGGGGACTCCGAGGAGGTGCTCTCCATCTGGTTCAATGTCTCGAAGTCCCTGGAGCCTCCTGAGAAAGGCCTGTGTGAACTTCAACATACACCCAGCAACCCAACACACCGATCAGGCTGGAAGTTCTGGTGCTCCAAGAAGGGCCGGTACAGGAACAGCCAAATCTACTTCGACGACCTTGGATGTGTGTCTGAAGTATTTCGGATGGAACATGCAGTGTTGTTTGATACAGGAAGTCAGATCCGGCGAGGAGCCAGCCGAGGCACTCGATCGTTACATTGGTTCTTCTTGTCACCCGATGTGGTGTGAAGAGGATTCGGGCTCGAAGCCTCCTCCGGAGCCGAAGGGCTCGCCTCCTCATGAGGTCGAGGCCTTGGCGGTCATGGTTCCATTGATGCTGTTTCCCATGATGGTTCTTGATGTACATTTATATATAAGGTCTCTGGCCATGATGAGGAGTTCCAGGCTGGAGTGGCCACGGAAAAATGGAATTTGTTTTGTGTGCTGTCTGCGACAGGACCCATGGGCGGAGCAAGATGATGGAGAAGACCGTTTGGGAGGGGAGGAGGTGCAACATTGTATACATATATTGATATTATACCCAAAGTATTGTGACTGCAGGAGGAAGCGGAGCAGCACTTCCACGAGGATCAGGTGCTGCATTCTTTTCAATTAAGGAAGCAAAGGTTCAGCTCGATGTTGAGTGCAGGAGCTTTTGATGGACCCGGAGCCTGCCTTGGAGGAGGACCAAGTGCTGCTTTGTTTTTAGAAAGGAAGCACAGGTGCAGTTCGATGTTGTGTGCACGTGCAGGAGCTCATCAAGCCGATGATCCACGAGGATGATGACGAGCAGGTGCTGCATAGATTTCACACAAGGACCACAGCTTCAGGCATTGTGTGTGTGTGTTCACGGAGGAAGAAGTTGCAGTGGATCCGCTGCCCGAGGAGACAGAGGTTCGCAAACACAGAAAGAAGTGAGAACCCATGCAGTTATGATTCGTTGGCCTTTGTGTTGTTCAGACTGCTCTCGATCTCACGGGCCAGCACAAGGCGAGGGAAACACTCACCATTAAGATTTTCGTCTGTGGCCGGTGTGCAGGCTGTGGTGCCTGCTGCCAAGGATGACCCCTTCAAGGCCAATGAAGACACGAACCGCCGGAGTGAAGCAGCCCTTCTGTTATTGTCCTGCTGCAGGCTTTGACTGTGTAGGCGGGGAAGCCGCCGACCAAAGCCGGGGCTCCAATGACTTCAAAGCTCGCTCTGGCATGCATGGGCTTGCTTGTTTCAGGTCACTACGGTGGAGATCGCTTCCGGGAAAGCTCCATGGGCAGTCAAGAAAGCCACCCCGGTGCAGGGCAGACAGATTCATGGCTTTCTTGATGAGAATGGAGTTCTTTGGCCGCCTGGCAGCGGAAGGCACTTGCAGGGTTCAGGGTGTCTTCTTTTTCTAGGGTTTAGGGACCCTGCCCCCAGGAGTTCAAGGCCATCAGCACGATGGCTCAGACCCTCACGAACCAGGCCTCCTTCTCCACATGTCTCCCTCTCCCCTCCTTCTCTGCTCCTGCTGCCTCTGTGGCTTTGGGGTTTGTGCTTCCTTGCTTCCTGGCAGACTGAGCTCCAACGGGAGATGCTGGGCTTCCAGAGGGAGATGTTTGCCTCGCAGGCTTCGAGCTCTTCCCAGGGCGAGGTCTGCGACATTGCTCTGTTCGAAGTACATTGAGAGCCCCAAACACCCGACAGGACAAGTGGAAGAACACTGTCACGTGGAGCCGGCGATGGTGAACCTCCACAAGGACTCTGTTGTGCTTCGGGAACACAAGTTTATAGATCTATAAACTCTCGGGGTTCGGGGGGGCCAAGGGTTTATCGATCTATAAACTCCTGTCCCGGCCTTCTCTCTTATAAGGAGGACGAGACCAAGGGTTTATCGATCGATAAACTCCCGGGCATCCGCGGGGCCAAGAGTTTATAGATCGATAAACTCGTGGTTGCATCGGTCGTGGTGTCATCCAGGGGCTTTTGCCTCTGCTGTCCCGATTGCAGGATGCTGGGCATCCACATGGGCCGGATGATCGTGCCGGCTTTTTATCTCCAGGCACGGACCGGAGATGATGTGATTTTGTATCGGCTGGCGGTTGGGACCGTGTGGCAGGCCCATGCACTCTGAGCTCGGCTGCAACGGTGCCGGGAGCCTGGAAGAAGCAGGCAGCCAGAACAGGCACAACACAGCAACTCACACACCAGATCTTCCACAGCACACAGCACACACAGCAGCAGGGCGAGAGCCACAAACCAACACACAAACACAAACATATACAGCACGGCTGCCGATCATCTTCCAGGTGGCCCCAAATCCCTGTAGATGTACCTTGCAAGGTACCTGAAATTGGCCCCGGACCCCGGCCAGTTGTAGTCGTTCGTCGGAGACACAGTTTGACCGGCTTCAGTTGAAAATGGCGATTTCGGCGGTTGTGCGCTGAGAGCTGCTTGCTCGGTTCCATGTACTGAAGACTTGTGACAGTTGTGTCCTTGAGGTCAGAAACATGTTCCATGTATCGATATAATATGCATATATATAGTCATGAATCGTTATATGAATGTATACATATATATATATATTCATATGTATATATATATATATATGTATATATACATATATATATATACTTTATATATACACATATACATATACCTGTGTATATACACACATGTAGGACAAAACAACAAAAGAAACCAGCAAACCTTTTTTGACCATTGCACCAAACAGAGAAACCAAAAAGAGAAACAACATCATGAGCAAAAACAACAATACACGTGTGCCTGCGAGCACAAGTGCCCTGCAAGGCCAAAACACACAAAGGCAAAGACTCGAATTGCCAGGCGAGGACACACACACACACACACCGACAACAACCCTCCTCGGCCCGGCAAAGCCCACCTTTACTGTGCTTTGCTTCCTGTCCTGCTCGTCGTGATAAATGTATATGTATTCTTTTACATATATACATGTATATATATATATATACATATGTGTATATACACATTTTATTTGGTGTTGTATGTTGTTTTATACATTGCACATATTCGTATCTCCCAGCTATAGGTTTTACTTGTTCATGTACATTTATTATGTGTATATATATATATATATATCACAAGTCTGTCTCAGGTATCATCTGTAATGATTACTTTGTGCGGCCTCTCATTTCTTACATCTAAAATATAATGCTGTATATATATATATATATACACACATTATATATGCCATAGTCTATACATATACATAAGTGCATATGCATCAGAGATCTCTCTCTCTCTCTCTCTCTCTCTCTCTCTGTCTCTCTTATATATATACATATATATACATGTATTGGTACACATATTTCTGGTTGTGTCTATATATGCTTCTATACACATATACTATATATATATATATACACGACACATCTATATGTCGAAACACCATGCACCCACCCCATCCCACCCCAACCCTCCACCCATGCACAGCATGCACACCGGCATGCATGGGGCATTGTTTGTATGT